GTGTCACATCAGCATATAACAGAATGATTTTTATCACAAATGGTCCCTGAAATTGATTCACCCCATCATGATAGTCCCTGAAATTGAAAATCAATCAATGTAGTCCCTGAAAATAGGTGTCACAAATCAATGTGGTCATTCCGTCAAAATTTCGTAAAAAAATTCTATTATGTGTTGAATTTAAAATATTTAAATAATAAAAAAATAAATTTTATTTGTATAAATCAATTAAATATTGCCATGTGAATTTAAAATATTTAAATAAAAAAAATTATTTATATAATTAAAAACTATATTTAAAAAAAAAAAACAGTACTGTTCATCTTATTCTTCTCCATCATTAACTTGTTTTTTCAACTTTTTTTTTTCTTCAGATTTTTGTGGGGAATTTCTAAATTTTTGGGGATAATTAAGGGGTAGGTCTCATGGGTCTTTGTCCTACACTTTTCATGGCCAATGGGAGCACATGGGACCTGGATTTTGTTTCACGGCCACCTCTCATTCCAGTGTTAGAATTCCTCTGTCCCACATTGATTATAAGGCTTGAGAACAAGCACTTTATATAGAATTACCCCACTCTAACTATCACCGAGGCCTTTTGGATTAAAACCCCACACCTGACGGATTAAGCAGGTGGCCAAGTGGGGACAGTATCGATGTTGTTGGAGTGAGCCTATGGCCCGTCTACCTGAAATTTAACATGGTATCAGAGCCAGGGGACGGGCCCATACTGCCACGTGAACGAGTGGGTCCCCTTTGACCCCTCGTGAACAGGTGAGTCCCAACTTGGCTCCATGTAAGCTAAGAGATGCCATGTGAATAGATGGGTCCCTATTGGCCCTGCGTGAATGGGTGAGCCCCGACTTGGCTGCACATGGTTGCCGTTGTGTGGAACTTCACATGTGACCCATAAAATGGGCTTTCATGTGCGGAGGAGTGTTAGAATTCCTCTGTCCCACATTGGCCATAAGGCTTGAGAACAAGCCCTTTATATATGTGTGACCTATAAAACGAGGTCTCGCATGCAGAGGAGTGTTATAACCCTAATGCCTTTTGTATTAAAACCCCACACTTGACAGATTGAGCAGATGGCCAGGTGAGGACGGTATCGGTGTTGTTGGAGTAGACCTATGGCTCGTCTACCTGAAATTTAACATTTAGATTCAAGGCCAATAAACAAACTAAAACCAATAACTCAAAAAGATTCAATCCTGGGAAGAATGGTCGATGAAGCCAACAGAGCTTCGTTCTTGGAGATTCAAGGATGCATGATTAAGCTCACTGCGAAATTGAAGCATGTACATATGCACATGCAGAATAAGGAAGGAGAAAAGAAGTGTGCTTTTCTAATCATGAAGGAGCTGTGAGCTTCATCTGATAATTCAAATGGGAATTGTTATTAGCACTCCAAAAATCTTATTTTGCACTCTAAACTTTCTATAATTAGAAAGAAAAATACACTTGTGAGAAGTGTAAAATGAGATTTTTGGAGTACTAATAATAGTTTCCATTCAAATACGTACACATCTATTGGGAGAACGTTTGTGTTAGAGCAGATCAATGGTAGAGAAGAGGGGCGGGGTTAGTGTAATAGATCAACGAGGATGGGAGTCGAGGAGGAACATTACTGTTCATCTTCCTTGTCCCCACCATTAATTTTTTTAAACCCTTTTTTCGTATTTAATTATACAAATAAAATTTGTTTTTATTATTTAAATATTTTTAATTCACATGACAATATTTAATTGATTTGTGGGATCCAGTTATGTGCCACATTAGCACATAACATAATTTTTAACGGAATTATAACGAAAGGACTACATTGATATGTGACATCTATTTTCAGGGACTACTTTGATCGATTTTCAATTTCAGGACCATCTTGATAGGGTGGGTCTCAATTGCAAAGACCATTGATTTGAGACAGAATGACTACATTGATTTGAGACACTTACTTTAGGGACTACATTGATCAATTTTCAATTTTAGGGACCATTTTGATGTCGCGAGTCAATTTCAGGGATCATTTTAATGTTGTGGGTCAATTTCAAAGACCATTTGTAAGACAAAAGGACTTATGAGGCCCATTTATGTGCCACATCAACACTTAACAAAATTTTTAACAAAATTGTGACGGAAGGACCACATTGATTTACGACACCTATTTTCAGGAACTACTTTGATTGATTTTCAATTTCAGGAATCATTTTGATTGTGAGGATCAATTTCAGGGACAATTTTTGATAAAAATTCAAATTTGTATTTGGATGCAGAGAAGAGTGTATTTGCTTGCCAACTTGGCTACGCCCAAGCTCTTATAAATTAAAAAACACCTTTAGTGTTTTCTAGAGAAGCTTTGCTACGAGCTTCCTTATGTAGTGGTTCCAAGTGCTTTTTTTTTAACGAGTATTTAAATTTTACCTAAGTTCTTGAATGTGCTCCTAACGAAAAAGCTTATTATGAACACATCAAGTCCATGATTGGCAATTGCTTTTCTAGTTTTTAAAGGTATTTTTGGACACTAAAATTTCAGTTGAAATCCACGTCGAGACTCTGTAGTATGGATTGAGATTAGGGCTATAGCAGTATCTGAACTCTGGATTTACTGGATACTACCTCCTGTGGAGAAATTAGTCTCATAACCCTGCACCTATACTGAGTATTGATCTGGACAATATGTTCTATTTTCTGACTGTCTTTCTTGTCGTTGTAGCAGGGACGATCACACATGAATCCCTCTTGTAATGGACCTATCTCATTGTGACGTCGTGTGGTGGGAGGAAGAGCAACCAATTATGGGGTGCAGCATAAAACTATGTCATTATACGCCGCCGCCACCACTGGCACTCGTTTCAATTTATGAAAACACGTGAGTCTTTGGAATAAAGGAGCCAGCGGCTTGGATGACGACAGCAACATTCTGCCAAGAATTTTATCGTAGTATGTGTCATCGGGGTTTGCTTATGATCTACGATGCATAGACACAGGAGAAATCCATCGTATCCCGTATCTGACACGCTGAGGATACGGATACGCGAAGGATACGCGTGGATATGCGCCCGATACGTATCGGAATGAAGAGATACGTTTAGGACTGCTAAGATACGCGTATCGTATCGTCTACATACCCGTATCCTACGTTTCGGATACGTTTGAAACTAAAATAAAAGGATAATCAGAAAAAAAAAAAATCACAATAAATCCGCATAGAATCGTGATTGATCGAAGCTAGCTAACTGAAATCACTCTAAAATCGGAGGATAATTAGAAAAAATAAAATAAAACTCAGATTTACTCGAACCTCATAACATAAATCACTCTTGTTGGGAGACTTTCACGAATCAGACCGTCATCTGCAACCGTTCCGTCGTCTTCATCTGCAACTGCGCCGTCGTCTCCATCTTCTCCGTCTACAAGTGCTCTGTCGTCTACTTCGCTGTCTGCAACTCCAGGTGAGTACTAAAAGTTTGAAAGAAACAAAAAGCTTTAAGCCTTTTTCCTCCTCTTGTTGAATGTACACCGTCAGATTCTGGTTATCCAAGGCTTTAACAGATTATAAAACGTAAAGCCACTTGCTTTTCCAAGCAATAATATATTATAATACCACTACCCACAATAATATATTATAATATTCTTTACTTTTCTGATGAAGGTTTTTTACTTTTCTGTTTGTAATATATTATAATACCATTACCTTTCGAATCTGATGAAGGTTTTTTACTTTTCTGTTTGTAATTTTTTGTATTATTATAATATATGAAACTTGTTGCTTTTCTGTTTTTAACTTTTTGTATTATTATAATATTCTTCTGATGAAGCTTGTTGTTTTTCTGTTTACTTTTCTGTTTTTAAATTTTTGTATTATTATAATATTTTTCTGATGAAGCTTGTTGCTTTTCTGTTTTTAACTTTTTGTATTATTATAATATTCTTATATTTTGCATATTATAATATATTATTGTGTAGTGGTATGAATATTTAGATTATAATAATTTTATGTATATGCTTTCATGATGTGTTTTTTTATGTATATGCTTTCATGATGGATTAACTCTTACTGTTTATAACTTTATATGTTTGTTGATTTAGGAAAATGAATCATCCTGATAATCATGCGAATGATAATACTAATCTGGATGATAATGCTAATCCGGATGAGATTGTTGAAAATTATCACACTCCGTTGTGGAAGTATGTTAAAAAGCTCGAAAAAGTGGGAAATAAAGGAGGAGGAAATACTGAATTTAAATGCAATTATTGTCAGAAAACTTATAAAGGATCCTACCCTAGGGTCAAGTATCATTTGTTAAAAATGGCTGGAAACGGGATCGCGCCTTGCAGCAAGGTTACTAATGAAAATCTTGCAGAAATGAAAAAGTTAATTCGAGAGTGTGAATATAAGCTGAAGAGTTCTGCTCTTAAGAATGTGTCTTTGCCCAATACTGGTTCTTTCTGTTATGATCTACCTGAAGTGAATCTTGATCCAAAGAAGAGAAAAGGAACAAGTGGGCCTCTCAGTAAAGCTTTTAACAAGGAAGCTCGAGATCAATGTGATGCCGAGGTTGCAAGGATGTTTTATACAGGTGGCTTATCATTTAACCTTGCAAGAAATCCGCACTATCGAAACTCATATGTTCGTGCTTCTACACTTCCAGGGTATGTTCCACCAGGTTACAATGCACTAGGAACCACTCTTCTGCAACAAGAGAAGAGTCACATTGAACAATGCCTCCAACCAATCAAACGCACATGGAGCACTAAAGGTGTAAGTTTGTACAGTGATGGGTGGACAGATGCACAAAGGAGACCACTAATTAATATTATGGCAACTTGTGAAAGTGGGCCTATGTTCTTGAGGGCAATTAATTGTGAAGGTGAATATAAAGACAAGCATTGTATTGCCAACTTTCTCACAGAAGCTATCAAAGAAATTGGTCATGAAAATATTGTTCAAGTGATCACTGACAATGCTCCTGTCTGTAGAGCTACTGGGTTACTTATTGAGGCTCACTATCCCCATATCTTTTGGACACCCTGTGTTGTTCACACTCTTAATCTTGCTTTGAAGAGTATATGCTCTCCGAAACAAACAGATGTTTCGTACGATGACTGCAATTGGATTTCAACTATTGCTAGTGATGTTTGGTCCATAAAAAATTTTATTATGAACCATAGCATGAGATTGTCCATGTTTAATGAACATTGCAAACTAAAGTTGCTCTCCATTGCCGAAACAAGGTTTGTTTTCTCCACTTTTTTTTTTTTTTCTTATTCAATTATAAGCTATCCTAATTTTAAAATTTTTCAGATTTGCTTCCACACTTGTGATGCTTAGAAGATTTAAGGAAGTAAAGGAAGGTTTACAACAAATGGTGATTAGCCCGAATTGGGCTTTGTACAAAGAAGATGATTTAGTTAAAGCAATGTCGGTGAAGCAAAAAATATTGGATGAATACTTTTGGGAGAAGATTGATTATATTCTTTTCTTTACAGCTCCAATATATGAGGTTATTAGAATGGCTGATACAGATAAACCTTGTCTTCACTTGGTGTATGAGTGGTGGGATACTATGATTGAAAAGGTGAAAGCTGCTACCTACAGGAATGAGCGCAAGGCATTACATGAAAAAAACAGCTTTTTTGATGCGGTGTATCGCATTTTATTGGAGCGATGGACTAAAAGTAGCACACCACTTCATTGTTTGGCGCATTCATTAAATCCAAGGTAATGATTTTGCTAATATCCTTATAAACTCTTATAAATTAATCTTTAGCTTTATGATTATATTTTTAAAGTGCTATTTCTTTTATTTTAGGTATTATAGTTCAGAATGGCTCCAAGAAGACCCTAGTCGGGTTGCTCCACACCGAGATGTTGAGCTTACAACTGAAAGGAAAAAGTGCTTTGAGAGATACTTTTCCAATGAGGAAATTAGAAGAAGTATCAATGTGGAGTATGCCTCTTTCTCTATGTGCTTGAATGACTTTGGAGCTATTGATTCTATGAATGATAGGTTTCATTTGGAACCAGTGATGTGGTGTATTGTCCATGGAGCTTCTACACCTAGTCTCCAATCCATAGCATTGAAGCTACTTGGACAACCTTGTTCCTCCTCTTGTTGTGAAAGAAATTGGAGCACTTATAGTTTTATTCACTCTCTAAGAAGGAACAAGATTACACCACAAAGAGCGGAGGATTTGGTATTTGTGTATAATAATCTTCGTCTTTTATCAAGGAATAGCTCAACCTACAAAGAAGGTATTACTCAATTGTGGGATGTTGGAGGAGATGGCTTTGAAAACTTGGGTGAAGAAAGTGTCGGGATGCTTGATATTGCTAACCTTTCACTTGATGAACCGTCATTGGAGACTACTTTGATTACTGGAGGAGACATCATGAACGTGGAAGTTGAATGAGACTTTTTTTTTATTTTTTATTTTAATTTCGTTTGAATGATCTTTTTACTTTTTCAAGTTTTAAGACTAATTGCTTATTGGATGAACTATCTTTCTAAATGTTTAGAGTTTATTGAAATAAATTTGAATGCTTATTTTATAATGTTTTAGATATGTGTGTGTGTGTGTATATATTTTTTTTAATTGCCGTATCCTTGACGTATCGTGTCCTCATTTTTAGAAATTTCACGTGTCGCCGTGTCGTATCGTGTCGTATCCCCGTATCCGTGTCCGTATCCATGCATCATAGCTTATGATACTAAATTTGGACAGATTGAAACCGGGCAGCAAGCAAGGACTGGAGATGAGAGTGCACCACCACTTGGACAATTGAAAAGTCGACAAAGAATGGGAGATCGTCGCTATTATTGGCAAGATCCTAAGCTAGCGGCCCAGCACTGCACCAAGGGACGATTGAGTTTAATTAGGGTTATGCTTACAGATTAACCAAATTACTCGGGACAAGATAGATATAGCTAGAATCCCAATACAATTAGATCGCAAAGTAAACAATTATTACTATTTTGCTTGTGACGCAAGCCTTTGCTTTTCTATATATACTATTATTTATTGTACTAGTTTACCTGATAGGGTATATAGGTCGATTCCTGTTCTCTTATGCAAGCTTTATTCTGTGAGCCGCCATAAGAGGTGCTACCAAAGGATGTATTTTAGAAAGTCATCTCCTCATTCACAACGATCATCATCAAAAAGAGTAAAACCATCGCAAAGGGTGATGAATAATATTAATACCATTGACGATCTCACGGATGTTGTATTGGTTGAAATTCTTTGTCGACTTCCTTCTTCTAAGTTCGTTGTTCAATGCAAGTGTGTGTCTAAGCGCTGGTGCACTCTCATCTCTGATTCTTATTTTGTTGACCGCTTTACAAGTCTGCAAATTGAATATCATGCGCAAACGCCGATCACTCTAATAAACAGCAGAGGGGAGGAATTCCTTGATAAAATGTCCAAACCCCTAAATCTTTTTCTCAAAAAACTCAAGGATTTTCATGGTTTGGATAAACATCCAGTTGTGGTCGGTGCGTATAACGATTTACTTTTGTGTTGTGTAGGCACGTATTATCAACGCCTTTACTACATCTGCAATCCATACATCCAACAATGGATTGCTCTCCCTGCCCCACCTCCATGTTACAAAAAGATTAAAACGTTACCGGAGGGATTCATGTGTGATCTTCCCTACTACAAGTATGCGAAAGAGGACGCGAAAGGACATACTGTCCAGCTTAATCCGCAGTATGGGTGCAGGGTTGTGAGATTGATCTCTGACCATTCGAAGCTATCATCCAACGAGTTCAAAGTGCAAATCTTCTCTTCTGAGACTGGTGAATGGAGGGAATCTGTTGTATCATCCCCACGAGATATTAGTCTCGATTATATCGATTACAATACTTGCTATGTTCATGCTTCCAACAGAATGCTGTATTGGATGGGTTATCATAATTTTGTTCTCAGTTTTGATCCCTTCATGATCAACAACTCTGTTAGAACTAGTAGCAGGGATGGTGATGAAGATATTATTGATCAGAGTTATAAATGTCATCTCGTTGATATTAAGTTTAATTCAGACAGCTTGTCGGTCGAGTGCCTAGGTGTGCACGGAAGGTCTCTCAAGATTTACGCGTACGACGAAGATACCAATACTTTATTAGTTTTGGACTTGAATGGCGACGAAGAATTCATCAATGGAGGATTTGAAAATTTTTTTCTGGAAAACAGTAAACGCATGGAGATGATAAATCTGGAAGAAGACCCGATGGAAAGTATAATTTTGGATCCAAATAACGATGAAATTTGTTATCTAACAACTACAGATGGAGAGCCTTTCATGTTCAACCTTGGCACAAAAATTTCGTCAAGAATGGATGACAAGATTACTGAGGACTTATGCTCGTACTGCTTCCCATATGTGCTGACTTGCTGGCCGACGCCAGTTCCTAGATTACCACAACACATATAGAGGAGGAGGAAGGGAGAAGATTTATCTAATAGTGGCAGCAACAAGTTAAAGTTGTTCTTGTGTTTAATCCATTTATTAATCAAATGTTTTTTTTTTGAAGGGTTTACAAAAGATAATCGGATGAGCCGTACCATTTGGTGGCTTCATGTTTTGCTTGATACAAATCCAATTGTTTTTCTTGATTATGTATGAAAGTTGAAACTGGTATTTAGTTTCAAGGTTTTTGATTGTTTGCATTACAAGGCAAATATTTTAGTTTGTTTTAATTGTATTTGGATTAATTCTAGCTGGAATATCTCGGTTTTGGTCTCCTTATATAGCTCCAAGACAACTACATTTTTATTTATTTTTGCTTGTGATGCAAGTATCCCGATACAACTAGTCACAAAGGGTGTGTTTGTTTCCCTTCACTAGCCCTCACTGGACTGGACTAGACAAACAGTTAGTCCAGTCCCATGTTTGTTAGCAACCAAGACTGCCTGATAAATTGATTGATGGTAATTTTGATTCAATTTCAAACTCGTGAAGTTGCAGCTCCAAAAAGGGCAGCAACGCCTTGCCCTGCTGCTCCAGCTCCATCACTGACCACCTTCTTCAGCCCCCACCAACTTGTTCATCAGGTTTATGTTAATTGGGTTTGATAGAATTATGTTAATCAAGATTTTATTAATTTTTGGATTAAAATTTGGCACTTGGAGTGGATTATGGAGGTAATTTTTGGTTCTTTGCTCAATGTACTTCAAAGGCGTGTCGTCACTTTTGAAAGATGCTCTGGTTTAGTGTTCTGGTCTTGATCTTAATGCATCATGCGTGTGCTACTATTGCCCCAACTCTTTGAACTTCAACTCACTTAACTAGTATGCAGTAAGTTTGATCATAGACCAATGGATTCACGATTCATCTGTTATATATTGCATAAGAATATCTGGGTCTCGTTTTCTGTGAGGTTTTAAACAATCTAGCTTATGTTTATGTCATGCGAAATATATTTTTCTTAATTGAAGCTTGCTGAATGCTTGATTGCGTTGTTGACTGCAGAACTCGCCATGTGACCCATGCTTGACACACTGCTGCTTGCACTGGTGCCCCCTGTGCCATGAGTATAACACTGGTCAATTGAAGGTAAGATGCCTTAAATAAGTTATTTGAGTATTATACGATCATACTTCTTCAGGTTTTTTGTTATATGGAAACATTACATATTTATGGCATCAACTTGTGTTCACCGGTATTCTTTTTCTCAGCCGAGGAAAATTGTTAGAAATTGCAAAACTGTTGGGATCTTTTGCTTGAGTTCCCACAAATGAATCCCATCTTCTTGAATCTTGCTCATTGAGTGTTTGCAGCCAACCCTCTAATTGTCAATCTCTATTTATATTCAAACTTGTACTTCTATTCTTAATACGTTCAATTTATCCTCGTAAACTATTGTGGGAATTATAGTTCCCAGTGATTGATATTGTGAAACAACTCTGCTGCTGTACTAGTTTTGTTTTCCTTCTCTTTTTTGTTTTTAAAGTTCACAATTTTTCAAAAGATACAACCCCTCGTTTAAAGCCACTACTACTTCTCAATGTCAATCTTGTTTTTTCTAGAGGCCACAATTGGTGAAAGGAAATTCGCAACCGTTGTCCGTGGATCAATTTTTTTTTTCTTTTCTTGCTGCAGCTGCTGTTCCACTGTTATTAACAGCCGTTAGCGGCGATTGTTGGTCGTTGGGAAAAGGTGAAATGTATTGCTGCGCTACCTCAACTCTCTTCAGAACACAAGGCAGCCAGCAACCACTGAAAGCCAATTGCCGTATACACTCAAAATATTGCAGAGTGCAGGAAGTTATGGATTTTCTGAGTTCTGAAAGCGAATTGAAAGTGCTGCAAATCGGAAATGATGTTACACGAGAATGTGTCTTCGGGGCTAAGGAAGCGAAGGACTACACGTTTTGTTGTATAGTTCCTAAGTAGTAATTATGTAAAGGCTGGTATTGCATTCGTTTATTATTTTTGCTCATTATTGCAATAAGAAGCCCAAGCTGAATAGAAATAACAGGTTGAGTGATATGAATTAGGATTTGTTGTTGTAGGTTCTTCTTGGTTGTGTCTCCTTTTTTGTCATCCATTTCAAATGAGCCCAAAAAGAAGGGACAAGAAATTGGAGCGTAAAGAGAAAGAACACGTTCTAGTTTGGTTTTGTTGTTCCTTTGTTTTAGTTTGTAGTTGGAAGTTGAAATCTGATTATAAGAATTGTGAGTGGAAAGGATAAGTGGCTCAAATTCACCTGTTATATTTCGTTGGAATTGTTTCATTGATTTCTCAATTTTTTTTCCAAGAATTGCTTATATTTAGCTTTTATACCTCGGTTTGTCAATTGGGGTTCTGTTCATGGTTTTTTTTTTCTTTTTCCATTATCATGCTTCTTAGTTCGACATTGCACTAAACGTTTCACTAAATCAGTTCAACTTAGTTTATTCTAAGCCAGTCCAACTTAGTTTCAGAAGTTAGTCTAGTTCGGGATAATCCAGTCCAACAAACACACCCAAAGTGAACAATTATATTCTCTTTAAAAACAATTAATATTATTCTTTTTTCTTGTGATGCAAGCTTTTTATTTTTTATACTTACTAATATTATTGTTTATAATTTACACGACAGCAATTGTTAGGAGAGGGTTCTAATGACAGGTGTTGACATTCAAATGGTGTGCTGATTGATTAGCATCCCAGTATTGGAGAGATTTTTTAGTGTGACCGATACACTGGATGGTACACTACGTGTCACTAAACAAATGGTGGGATATGTATGCTAAAAAGTTAATAACTTAAAAAATAAAATTTTTCACTATTCCTATTAAAACATATGGTGTACCACTTATGTTCCCGTCACAACTAAAAATTTCTTCAAACATTGTTAGTGTGGTGACGAGTCAATACCCAAGTATTGTCGTTTTTACTACGACATTTGCTTCTTTTTTTCTTTTGTTTTTAATTTTTAATCACACTTTTTGATTCATTTGAAATTCACATCTTCAATGTAAACCCAAGAAACAGATATATCTTTTAGCCACAAAATGACACAAATCAAATAAGTGGTGTCAAAACTCGCCTAGTTACAAAGACGGAGAATTTTGGTACATATTAAAACTCTACATTGATTTGGAATCGGCCTAAAACATTTACAAGTGAGCAAATAAACAAGATTTTAGGCTTGTTTGAGATTTTTTGTTTAGGAAATATTTTTGCTTATAATAAATGTTTTTGCTAGAAGTATTTTTATTAGAAACACGTTGAAACTTTTATTGAAAACTTAGGTTAAAAAAAAAAAAAAAAAAAAAAAAGATTCATAAAGAAGCACATGTCAAATGCTTATCCAGAAAGCATTTATATGACCTAGAAGAAACACTCATAAATTTTATGTCGAATACATACAGAAGTGCTTTTAGTATTTTTAACTCTGTCAAGAATTGGTTAGGATCGGGAAATATCCATTTTTTGACATACATTTTTTAGGGCCCGCTATATAATTTTTTTCAACGGTACAAACCTTTTATCTTTTAAGTCTTCCATAAAAAATCATATCTACCAAAAATCACAAAAATCTGAATCATATAACCGTTAGATTAAATGGTAATCATTCTAGTGTTTCTTTGTAAAACTGTATTCATCTATTTTTTTTCACTATAAATGAATGTCTTAATAATTTTGGTTTTGTCTAATTTTTTGTAAGTATGATCTATAAATGACGGCTTAAAATATAAATGGTTCATATCATTGAAAAAAGTTATGAAATTATCCCTAAAAAAGTGTGTAAAAAAGAGTGACGTGTGATCCAAACCCTTCAAAAATAGTCTCAAACACGCGGCTACATGTTATAAGTCCTATCCATGATGTGAATGGACCATATGCTCGTAACCTTTGTTTTCGGATATCTCTGCATAATTTTACTACATATACACAAGTTTTTGAACTGTTATTAATACTTTAAAATAATCATGGTAAACTCACCCTGAGTGTATAACAAACTGATATTGCAATACTGAATAATATTTTTGAGACAAACTTCTTTTCATCTTTTGTTTTGATGTGCCATTATATATGCACGTTGAGGTGTGATACTTTGACAAGTGTAAAATGGGACTGAATTTAAGGAGAAATTATTCAACGTGCCAAGAACAGCTCTGATACACAAAGTCGTGCCAAGAACAGCTCTGATACACAAAGTGTCAGAATACAAATACTTAAAAATTTCTTTTTTCAAATATCCAATCACTTTATTCTAACATTTGATATATCAAATCGTAATCCTACCATTCTCAAATTTAAGAGGGTCATAAAGAACTTGTTGGACCATATACAGTGGCTAGAGCTGGCACTCATCAAGTAGAATTTAAGATGGTGTCCCCAATTGTCCTCTTTTCCTTCCCCACCCCAGCGAATATCATATTTTCCTTCACATTTTTCTGCTTCTGCAGTTTTGCACTTCCACGCCACACACAAACAGGTATTTTAATTATAAGGGTTTCTCTATTTTAGCCCCTCCATGGGACCCCTTTTTTGTCTTTTCATGCGTCCACATCATTCAAGATATCAACCCCACGGAGCCGTAGAGGCCATCTCAATAAATTAGTTTAGTCCTGCTTTGTTCTGGAATTACCAAGCTGCCCTCTTAGATTCTTTTGCTTTCAAATTTGTATTTGTTAATTAATTTAAAGCAGGAGCAGCCTCTACAGGTCTCCATCACCGTTCACCACCTTCGAGTGTCTGCCTCTTTCGGCAGGGCAACTTTTGGACCTGGTTCAGTAATGGCTTCAGACCCACTGACCCACACCAATGTTTATCCTTGAAATTTTTACTTTCTTATATGCAATGCCAAATTTTAAATATAAGCAGTGTTATTTAAATTCTCATAACGATGTTGTAGTTGTTCATTTTTTTTGTCAATCACAGTTTCACCTATATTGTTTAGTGTGATCAAATTATGGGTGTATAAGAAGAAGAAGAAAAGTATGTACACGAGTACTTTGAGCTACAATAATTAGGCGATTGATCTATGCCTTGCTAATTAAGGTGCTAGATCCATATGTAGGAGAGCGACTACAGATTCATGAAGTTGAATGTGACACTTACGAAAGCATTATAAAGACACTTTACCCTCCGTTTTAATAGCAACAAGGACTTGGCTTAACTAGCTAACCCTAACTAGCTAGGGCAAGAGAAATATGCATGTTGCTAGTGTTATTCCAAGATCAGCTATAACCTGACCCAATTGTGCAAACTTCCATGCTAGGCTAGTTCGAGCATGGTGTGACTTGAATGAGTTGAGGGGTTCCATGTGGATACCCTAACCAATTAAGTTAACTTCACCGAGGATGGCTAGTTAGTATGCATCATTACGTATCTAAATGGAGTTAATCTATTTATCTTAGCAGCAACAACAACAACAAAGTATTATTCCACTAAGTGGGGTTGTTTGTATAAATCTTAGAACACCAATGCGCTAGGTTTTGACCCAAGTCTTTCGTTCACTTCAAGTACTTCATGTCTTTTCTTAAAGTTGCTTAGCAACTAGAGAGAAATTTCAATAGGTTTATCTAACCAGGACAACTCTCATACTGAATGAGACTAGCTGGCATGAGGATGCAGTGTGATCAAGTTACAAAAGATCTCATGTATGAGAACTTGCCTAGGAATGACGTGATCGGATAACGCACTCAAGTTTTTCTCTTGTAGTAGAGGAAAAAAGTAAGATTGAAAGTTGTGAATTGATTTTTCTTTTTTTTTTTTTGTTACTAATATTATGCACCTACCAAGCAATACTAAAGGTGACTAGGTCACACTTAAATAAGACGTGGACCACTGGTATGTGCTTATGCTTACATTAAATCTTTACCTCTTTTAGTGTTGAAACCCACGGCAGATTTGAGCAGATTCTGAAATTCTAGGAGTAGCATTTTGTGTAGAATAATTACTTGCTAGAGGCAGCCAATGATCTTGTTCTAGGAGTTCTATCCAGTTGCTCCTCTCTGGTGAATGGCTTCAATTAATATTTGATGGACTGCATAGCATAAAGCAATAGGATTTGTATTGATACATTCAGCTAGCTAGCTATATCAAATTACCCACCAAAAAACAAGGCATTATCTTTGTGGAAAGTGGGTTGATCATCCTATCCAAGACCTAACGTTTGAAATCTAGACTATGTCTTCAATTTATCGAAAAACATATTTCCAATCCTAGGTCTGTATGGATGAGAAAGTCTAAGGTGTTATTTGTATTAGAAATGGATATGTAAATTAGTTATGCATGTAGAACTTGGAAGTTTCAGAAATGGAGCATCAATTTAAAATAATTTTAGAATTATTGGAACTCATCTTAAAGAAAACACAATTCTTAATCTTTAAGAATAAAATTATCAACTTTAAACAATTCAACCAACGACATTTAATATTTAAAAAAAAATGAAAATACTTGTGTCCGCTTCGCGGTTGCGCATGCTTTTACATCCCTTTGTGTACAACAGTTTAAATATTTCTCTTTACTTGTAAGTAAAACGTCTTTTAAGTTCGAATCTTTTAAATCTCTCACCATGTCTTTAAATATATCGTTAGACAAAAAAATTAAAATCAGAATTGTTAAGTGGACACTACAACAAAATGTAAATTCTTATCGAAATCATTGATTTACGAGATAGAATTGGTGACCAATCAAGAAAAAAAAAAGGGTCACCCCAAGTCACAAATGCTTCACTTGTTAGTGAGAGGTTTTTTGTACACAGTCTTATTCTTACTTTACAAAAATGTTGTTTTTATGACTCGAATCCGTAATCAATATCTATTTAAATTAATTTTCTAGAATGGATCTTTACATTGGTAACTAATAAAAAATAAATAATCAAATTGAAGATTTAATTATCCATATGTAGCCACTTAGTACTACGGTATAATGATATTCTTCTTCACTTGTTAGTGAGAGGTTTTACGTTCAATTAATTCTCGCTAAAGTGAATTTGAACCACATTATTGTTAGCTCATTGTGAGGCTCAACCCACCTCTTCCCCTTTAATATAGAAAATATAGTTTATTAAAAAAAAAAAAATATATATATATATATATATATATCCATATGTATGAGATAAGTGGACACTACACCAAAATGTAAATTCTTATCGAAGTCATTGATTTATGAGATTAATTAATTATTTTTTTTTATAGAATAATCTTTATATAATCATTAAAAAAAATATTTATTTAAGAAAATATTTGCTAAAAAGTTACCCTCACATTTTCGAAAGTA